TTAGAGAGAACTGAGAGAGAGAGGCAAATGCAGTGTAGAGGCTTGAATTTTTAAAAGCGACAAAATGAGTCAAAGTTTTTTTGGAAGTAAGTGGTAGGACCCATGCCCCCATTTCAGGCACGGATCATTTAATTTCTCTGTGTAAGTATCACCTCCTCCAGAAGTTCTCCATGATTGCATTTATCTAAAAACATGGCTCCACTTAATGATTTTATTTTTTGACCCTGCTGCTTTGTTTTTCTTCATAGGGCTTATCACTCCTTGGCAACATATCATATGCTTATTTAATTATTTCCTATTTCCCTTAGTAGAATAGAAGCTCTGAGAAGGTGAGGATTTTGCTCCTTTGGTTATCGCTGTTGCTCAACACGCAGGGGACCATCAGGCACAGAGGGGGCGCTCAGTACCAATTTGTTGAATGAAGAAACGAATGTGAGTCTAAGAGAACCCTTACATTCTGATTCAAACACACAGGCTACAAGGCTGGGAAATGAACAGTTAAAAAATAAGCTATCACATTACAGATTATTTTCCACCACTAGTTGGTTTTAACATTTTTACAGTTTAGAATGATGAGGGCCCCCATCAATGTTTACCTTGTGTTCTTCCTAAACCTGCTGTATCCACATTGTGGAAATCTTGGAAAATGGGATTAAAAGAATTTATGATTTCGTGTCCCTACTACATCAGGACTAACAATGAAAAATTTTCTTTTTACGGAGTCTTCAAAGTGGCCTGCATTCTCACATGGTCTCAGTATACCCAGAGAATAAACCGTTTTCTTGGATTTTTTAAAACTTTTATCTAAAGTCCCTTCTGGACTCTTAGATTATGTGATTCTATATGGAAATCAATAAGAAAGAAAAAAAAACCCCACAAGCTACTGAGTGGCCTTGTGCTCCTTACTTCTAACACATTTTGTTAAATGAAGGATTCCTGACCTCGTTCCTGTAGACATTTGAGACACTTCTCACTCTTCCACCCAAACTCTCATTTTGCCTGATTTGAATGTATGTCCCAGTTTGCGCTTTGTAACCTGCTAAGAAAAATATAAAGAATTTTGAGGAGAACTGTCAGAGTAGTAAAATTCACCCTGCCCAAATGTTGATAAAGCTCGCCTCCCTACCATTTACCTTCATCCTTTCTATGAACAAGTGGGGTATTAGTAAGCAAAATCGATCACGTAAAGAAGTTGGGAGGAGGAAAGCCGCCTACTAAGGGTAAACCGCTTTCCAGCACGTTGGCAGGCTGATGCGTCTGGAGTCGTGTGTAACGCAGGAGGAAGCACAGAATGAGGAATTACCAGCCAGACAATAGGGCATGACTGCTCCAGATCTCTGAAATGTCTCTTGGAAACACGCAACTTGGAAAACGATGAAGAAGTCCCTTTGCCACTTGCTGTTGACTCAGGTTGCGGCAACAGAGTTTTATGTGTTTTACCCACCAGAATCCCAGCTACAGCAGGAGGAGTGATGTCCTAGAAAGTGGGGGCGGGGGGGGGGACAGGAAAACCTAAGCGGAGGGGTAGGAGGGGAAACTCAATCAGGCCAGGGGTGGGGTGACTTGTGTCAGCCCCCCCACTCGGCTGAGAGGGGGTCGCAGATCCTCGTACCTCAGATAAAAGGGGGGCAGTGAGGTTCCTTCTGAACCCTTGGGCCCGCTGACTGAGGGTGAGGCATGAAGAGGATCTCGACACCTGTAAAGGGTAAGGATGACTACTAATAATGGGATGTTGCCATCTCTTGAGAATTTATGGGGTGACAGCTACTATTCTATGTGACATGTTGTTAAGAACTGAGCTGTATCCTCCCCACCTCCCAAATTCCTCTGTTGAATCCCACACCCCCAGTGTGACTGTATTCAGAAGAAGGGCCTTGAAGGAGATAATTAAGGTTCAATGAGTCATAAGGGTGGTGCCCCGATCCAATAGGGTTGATGTCCTTCTAGGAAGAGGAAAGGACACCAGGATTGTGTATCCACGGAGGGAAGGCCACGGGCGGACACAACGAGAAGGCAGCCATCTGCAAGCCAAGCAGAAAGACTTCACCAGAAATCAGTCGTGCGGACATCATGATCTCAGATTCCCAGCCTCCAGAACAGTGAGGAAAGACACTTCTGTTCTGTTACGGCAGCCCTAGCAAACTCACGTCCATGTGTTATCTCATGTAAACCTCATTACGACATTATCCACACTCTCCAATAAAGAAACAGAAGCACAGAGAAGGTAAACAACTTGATTAAAGTTGCACAGCTAGTTAGTAGTGGAACTGGAATTGAACCCAAGCAATTGGATGCCAGGGCCCATGTTCCTAACAGTTCGTATAAGGTAACATGATTAATATCCACAGTGATACAAATGGATGCTTTTATTTTTTAAAGATTTATTTTAGAGAGTGAGTGAGAGTGCATGAGTGGGGGAGGAGTAGAGGGAGAAGGAGGGAGAGAGAGACTCTCAAGCCGACTCCCTGTTGAGCGTGGAGCCCAACGTGGAGCTCGATCCCAGGACCCCGAGACCATAACCTGAGCCAAAACCAAGAGTCAGACACTTAACTGACTGAGCCCCCCAGGCGCCCCTCAAATACATGCTTTTTATCAGAAAAACCCATAGCAAATACAAAGTTCTGCATGTACTCTGTGCAGTTGATTTCTGATTTTAGTCCCTCTCTTCTCCTCTTCCCATCATCCAAACAAGAAACATTTTTGCGAGCCCTATCGATCTCAAGCATTATGTGAGGCTGGGGGGACCAGGCAGGAAGTTCTGAGGGCCGTGTTCTCCTGGAAGGGACACGCTAGTAAGGAAAGGTGGCTGACAACCAAACAGAAAAGCAGAGACAGTGACAGCGAAAAGACAAGTAAGTCAGGAAGCGGTGGTGACAAGTGGAGGCTAAACCGGTCCCTCCATCCCCAGCCAGTTACTGAGCACACACAATAAAGCAGCTGGGAATTGCCTGCAGGCCCCCATTTCTGTCTCTAGAAAATGAGGCTTTTGCTCTAATAACCTATGACTTCTCTGGTTAAGTCAGGAGTTACTTGGGCAATACTTACCTTAACCCAGTTATGGGAGATAAGAAATGCTACAGTCTAATGTATTCTCTAGAGATGGGAATAAGAAATGCTACAGTCTAATGTATTCTCTAGAATGTTCCAGAAGGTGTACAGTAAGAGCTTCAAAGGTTCCAAGAAGACAGCAGGGAGGGAAAGGGATCATCTCATTGGATCTGAGCGGGCTTTAAAGGCGATGCGAGTGTTTGTTTAAGCAAGTGGATGCTTATTATGCAGTCTGATCTGCTGCAGAGTGCTAAGGAGGAAGCAGGAAGACTTAAGGTCCATGCAGGGGAGGGCTGGGGCTTGGACAGAAAGCAAGACATTGGAGAAACGTGATGCTGTTGTGGATTTCTCTTCCCCAGAGAGCTTAATCAACCAAAGACCGGTATTTTGGTAAGGCCTTACCCAGGAGGAGAAGGATAAAGTGGCTCACGAAAGGGATTTCCTGGCCCCAGGAGGCCCTGCTAGTTCTACTAGGTAGTCTGAAATAACACCACTTCACCCCGTACCTCCAGCACCCCTGCCACATAGGGCAGGGCAGAGCCCCTTCCTACTTGGGGTGGCCATCTGAACCAAGAAAAAGTACTTGAGGAGCGCCACCAGGAATGCCCACGTGACGGGAGTGGACGAGGTGACACGTGCCCGAGGCGTAAGGACCAGGTCATTGACAACGGCGGAGTCAGAGGGGTGTGCTGAAGTAAGAAACACGACCCGCCTTTTTATAGCGGACTACAAGCCGGGCCTGCGGAGGACTCACAGAAACACGGCTGGCGCAGAATGACAGGGTTGCCTCAACTGTCCTGATGACTCTTCGCAGTAGAATATGGGCTTTAATCATCTGGCCCAGCAAATAACACCAGCTTCAAACAAGAGTAAGACTTGAAACAGACAGTTACTGGTGCTGACTGCATCAAGATGGAAGGTGAGAGTCTGTCATTTCATAGAGAAGCTTCACACAGACAGTGAAGGGAAAGAGGGAAGGGAGGGCAGGAAGGGAGAGGGGGGCGGAGAGGGGGGAGGATGTGGAAGAGAGGGGAGGAGAGGCGAGGAAGGGGGGATGAGG